ATGCCACCGAATGCCGCGCATTCTCGGGTTCCTGCCTCTCGCGGTATGCGCGCGGCCTAGTGGGAAGATATTTTTCTGCGGTTGAGGCTAAAATAGTTCCAGTTCTCCAGTACAGGTATGCCGGATCCGTTCGGTATCAGCAGCCTTGCAAGGCTGCTGTGACAAAGAGATCACGCTTAAAATCAGGCAATAAACCCGTTGCGACGTGACGTATTTCTTTCGACGAATATCAGCGAGAGAGATCGGTTGTAAACCGGCTCACATTTCCCGATTTTTATACTCGTGTCACGGCGCAGAATTTTCATGCGACACCGCGTCTAATAACTCAGCGGGAAAAAAAAACGGAAGATATATACGGGATACGTTGCTTGCGAAATTTACACCGGCGCGATTAATGCATCATCTCGCTGTTAAAATTCTTTCGCTGAAATAAGCAAAAAACACGTACTAGAATATTGGATCTAAAACTAAAAGCTACTGAATTATGTAAAAAAATTAATTAAAACGAATTTGCGAGATGTGTAAAACTATTTGAAAAAATGCTCGCGTTTCAATAATGATTAAGAATTTTATTATATGTATATTAAAACTGATTTGAAGACTCATGTTTGTCCACGATGTTTAAATACACACACACAGAAAAATATTATTCTATTGCTAAGTAAAATGATTACTCAGTTTACTTTACTTCTTTTAAGTAACAGTTATCTTTAACAAAGAATATTTTCTTAATAATAGTCTTAAAATAGACTTGTCACAAATTTTAGAAATACTCATTATCATGTACTCAAAAAAAGTAAATATTTTCTTTTGAAGAATATTATAAAATTTTATCGAAGAAAAGTCAGATATGGTTAATTTAATGTAAGAAAATTTATTAGATCAGAAAAATTTAATGTATTTCTTTCAATTATATAATTTAGTATTCTTGATTGAAGTATTAAATTTATTAGGATTCAGAATATATTTTGAATAAATTTGATGCTTATGATGAACTTATGATAGATTTGTGGATATGTGAACTTTTGAAATACTTGAAACAAGTAATATTTACTTGTATATAGTATGTATTTTTCTGTGTGCATGATATAATTATATTAGTTTCATATATCTACATATAGAATCCCATATAATATTCTGCCTTGATAAGCGATAACGATACGAAAATAATAATTCATTGGATGTCGTCGAGGTGGGTGGATGACAAATCGCCCCAAGCAAACTTGACTCGCACAACTTTCTTTATATATCTTTTTCTCGTTTTTTATCAATATATATCAATTTTTCATATCGACCTAATTTCTAAACGGAGAAAATAAATAAATATCTAGAGTAAAATGGAACAGTTTTCTATTATTAATATTATATTCGATTATTTATATTATAATATATTCAATTTACATAATATCAAATTTTCACTTGTTATTGCATATGTATTAACAAACAATTTTGAGAATGATACGATTTAACTCGCCATTGGTTTTCGCAATCTAAATTCGCAATCTTCATAAGCACATCGCCTTGCAAATTAATATCAAATGTGTGACCAGAAAGGCATCAAACAAGAAAGTTCGCGATATGCTAAGCTTGTCAGGTGCACGAAATATTTTTATATAACGATAAATCCCATATTTATGATGCGGCCGCGACCTTATCTAAGCGATGTGTACACAGGTTAGTACTACGTACATGCGCGAGACAGATGCACGCACTTTCCATCAGTCATGATCGTGATCCTCATCGCCATCACCGTCATCATAATCCAGATCAAGCCTTTGGGTAACAAACCTATCTTCGTTCAAGAATCTAAAAACGCAGCGGGTGAACGTGTGCACGATACTAAGAATCCATTGCAATGCATATAAGGAATACGAGTTTTGCATAGCCTTTGGCAGAACACTATATTACAGTTACAACATACTTGTGACATAAGCTAATTCATTTATTCGTGCATAGTTTATGTCGCAGAAAAAGTATAAATCAAAATTAAAAAAACTTTTATTGAATATTTTATTGAAATTTATTTATATCCGCGCTCGATTATTCCTAATTTGTAATAGCAAAATTTTCCATTTATAAATTGCGATAATTATAAATGCGTAATCAACGATTAATAATATCTAATAATGCGCATATAATTTAATGTTACTATTTGCCACCAATAATTAATTATTATTTAAAAATCAATGATTAGTAGATTTATTTAACCGTTAAGGAACCTATCATTGATAATGAAAAAAATTTGATTATGACTTATTTGTTCTTTTAATGATAAAAATATCTACTTTAGAAAATTAAAATATCTTGATAAAGACATCTTACTTTATAAATTATTTGTTGAGTAACTGAATATAATTAGAAAGATAATGTTTTTAATATGTTTCTTTTATATAGATGCATGAAAATATCATTATACTAAAAGAAATATGCATACGTAGAAAAGCTGCGCGTATATTTTGATAAATTTATTATGCTTTCGCAAGCATGTCATTTTCTCTTTCTTTGCCGACTCGCGCAATGCTACAACCAATGATGACCAAGACGTCTCGTACATTACTTTCTATATTAGAGATAATTATATGGCATCATGCATACAAGAACTTCGCATAACGCGTATGGTAATGGTTAACTGTCGGCATCTGCTTTACATTTAAAAGGACTTCGTGTGATTCTTCGGGCAAGTACAATTGCGATGTACGTTCTGCTTTCTGCTCGTTTCACATATCTTCGCGTATACTATATGTACACTCATCGTGTATGCCTTCATTACAGGCATTACCTTTCTTAAACGAACAAGTTTTCCTTAGTTATATAATACACACTTGCAAAATATTAATTCCCCTTAGTAATCATGATATAAAAATAATTTTAGAAAAAAAATAATTTTTTATATGTTCGCAATTAAGTAGAAAATTTTGTATCAATTTGATATGTATCTGCGGTTAAATTTTATAAAATATAACGAATATAAAAAGAATATAATTGTAACCGAATAAATCTCGATAAAAAAATAAAAAGATGAAAAAATTCACAGTAATTATTATCGACGCACGAACAAAAATAGGTCAAAAATAATTTTATTTCTCCATTATGTTAGCAACAATTCTATGCGTAATTTATAGTACAAAGTCTGATTAAAAATGTTGCAAGATTTACGAGAAAACCTCCAGAGGCTATATTCAGTACTGTGAGAAGTAAAGCGTAATAATTAACTCAGATGACGAATAGAGGTACGAGTTAACGTAGTAATGAACTACATAACTTATCGGTAGCGTAATGAATCGACACTATCCTATGCACATATATTGCGGAATTATAATTTATAAGCTTTTTGATTAACTGTAAATAAGTGCCTCGAAGCCAGTAATCTAAATTTTTGTAGACCCTGCTCTAATTGTTATTCTACACTATAGCAATTATAGTCATACTTCAATTTCACTCACAGTTGGTTTTTTCATGCACAAAGTAACTTATTCATAAAATTGTTTAAATAGATATTTAATTATCAAAAAATAAAATATATAATTTTTCTAAATATATCATCTATTTACGAGATTTCTACTTTTATGTTTATTTAAATTTTAATATATATGCATACAATATACAATGCTGTAAAAGAGTATGTTTTTGTAATATATTTATTAAATTAATTAACCGCTTAAGAATTGAATAAGAAAAACATTATTATAGAAAAAATCTAAATTCTTTCGATAATACTATATTGTATTTAAAAAATTATATATTAGTTCATATAGTAATGAAATCAATTAATAATAAATGCACTAATTAATGCATTTCATGTACACTAATTACACTTTACGTAACTGGCTCACAAACCGCCAAAGCAATCAAGAGAAAAAAAATGTTACTCTAGAGTATATTTAATGGTCTACTGTCATAAGAGGAATAGCCTTAACAAATCAATCAGCAATGGAAAAGGACAAAGAGGTGAAGGTGGACGAAGAGGAAGAGAGTAGGAAGATCGAGAACTCGATCTTCGCAGGGTCGATGCTAATTTCTAGGGTCGAGTCGTGCACCGGCCACACTCCCGATTGGTCTATACGCGAGTGGCGGCCCCTTTTTGTTCTTTTAGCTGAGAACCGCCGATATATGTGGAGCAACCTGGCGACGATCGTGATATGTCAGCCGGCACCCACGCTCCTGCGACTTGTGCCACCCTTCGCCGTTAAACCTTCTCGGCCCTGACCTGTCCTGTCGTCGCTTCGAGAGCCTTCTCTAAACTTACATCCCATTATACCTCTTATTTTACCTCACGATACTCTTCGATTTAAAAAAATTGTTTAAATATATAACTAATTATCCAAAAATATAATATATAATTTTTCTAGATACATCATCTATGTACGATATTCCTACACAACAAACAAGATTATCACCTATCGA